CTAAAGGGGTCCGTATTCCCAACGGCCTCATCACCGTCTTGCTGAAGTTATACTGGCCGGGGTTGTACTGTCCGGATCCAGTCAGGCAGCCGGACCGTTGGGTTTTGGCCACGAGCTGGGACCACTGGGAAGCGGCCCTCCACGCGGACCATGAGACCCATGCCAAGGCCGTGATCACTACTTTCTGGGTGAGTTCTCTTTAGAAGCACAAGTCCATTCTAGTTTCATGAATGATTTAGCTCATGGCTTCTTCCATTCTTGTTTCATGCATGATTGTAGAAATTCTATCGAGTTCTTCCGGAGCACAGGGCTAGAGCGGACCAGATCGTGCTGCGCCAATGCAAGAAGAAGGCCCGCCAGATGCAGTACGAGGTGCGCTATGTGGCCATCTCGACATACTACATCGACGTTCTTGGTGTGAAGATGACAAAGGAAGAAGCGCGGAGGATGGGCATTACCTTGGAGAGGCCCGAGTACTTGGCGGTAAGTATAAAAGATTTTTCATTATGCTTTCATATATTATGCTTTCATTATGCTTTCATTACCATGTGGTACATTTACTGTTTCATGTTGACATGCCATTATGCTTTTATTATGTAGGTGTGTCCAAATTGGTGTTATGGAAAAGACGAGTCCTGGGCAGCATTGGTGGATCTTTGGTGTGATGAGGCTGGAGCCTGGGCGTCTATGAGAATCAAAAATAAGGCTAACCGAGGGAAGGAGGGAGTACATGCTCAGGGAAACCGAAACCACTATCTCCACAAGGCAGTTAATGTATGACTAACCCCATTAAACATTCTTCTTCTTCTATTTACCATCACTTTCTTATGTATGACTAACATCTGTTTGGTGGTGCAGGAGGAGAAACTGAAGCGGCCGCTCTCACACATGCAGGCGTGGGAGATCGCCCATACGCGGAAGGACCCCAAGCCTGGCGAGCCCAAGTACTACGGCAAGAAGACTGCGTGGAGGAAGGAGGCCTACTCCGCAGCGTATGTGAAGTTACATCCTGACACACCTGACCCCATTGCGGCGGATCTGGACGACAGGGCAGTGGTGAGCATGGGGCCCAAGGAGCACGGTCGGGAGGCGGTTCTCGATGCTGTGGTCACTCCGACTATCTCCTACACACAGCTCCGTCGGATCGACCCGAGCCTGAGCCAGCGCACAAGCCAGCCAGTGTCCAGTTCACAGTCCCTCTTTCAGGAGCAACAATCTGTAAGTATTTTCCCTCTTATCTTCATTACTCACTTTATTTTCCGCATCTAGTAGTTTTATGAGTTCCATCATGTCATACCGTAGGCCTACCTGGAGTACACACGCCAGGAGACCATGGCGTGGCATCAGAGGCTTCATGAACACCAAGTACAGAGGGATCGCCAGCTGGAGCAGGCTTTTCAGGAAATGGCGGCCGGCAGGTGTCCTCAGTTGCAGCCAGCACAATGTCCTCCAGCACAACTAGTGCTGCTGACCTTTGAGGAGTTTGTGGCACAGAACGCTGGCCCCTCGCCGGTTAGTTCATCCCCAATCTATTCATCCAAAGCATGTCATGCCTTTCAACATAGTCATATATCCCATTAATATGTCTTTTCAACATCCAGGGAATAGGTGGATCTACCGTTGGCGGTGGTCTTCGCAGCACTCCGGAGACACAGAGCCCAACCACTCCGATCCACGGAGGCGGAGGCGGAGGTGGAGGCGGTCTTGGCGGTAGCGCTGGCGGAAGCACTGACGACCTGGGCTTCGGCGCTCTTGGCGGTGACGACCTCCGCGGTGCTCGACGTCCTGGCGCTTAAGCCTTTGGGTCACATTGTGGCGGTTCTCGATGTTGTGATACTTATATGCTTGTGATGTTTCTTATCTTATTGTTGTTTGTGAGATTCTTATCTGCTTGGTGGTGATGATACTTATATGTTTATGTTTTGCGATGTTTCTTATGATGTGTGATGCTGCTCCTTACTGTTACGTGATGTTGCTTCTTATATATGCTGCTTCTTATATATGTTGTGTATATTCAAATGAATTGAGCTAAAAAGAAACAGAAAAAAGAAAAAAAAACTGGACAGAAACTATGCCGACGGCCTAGCCGTCGGCATAGGCCTGGCGTGAGCTCCCAGTGGCTGACACGTGGCCATCTATGCCGACGGCCTGGCCGTCGGCTTAGTTCTGCCCCAGGAGTGCCCAGTTGCCGACACGTGGCACGTCTATGCCGATGGCCTAGCCGTGGGCATAGTTCTAAACTAAGCCGACGGCTAGGCCGTCGGCATAGGCAAGCCCCAGGAGCGACGGCGACTCTCCACGTGGCACCTCTATGCCGACGGCCTGGCCGTCGGCGTAGTTTAGTACTATGCCGACGGGTAGGCCGTCGGCATAGAGGTGCCACGTGGTGAGTCGCCGCTGGTCAGCAGTTGACGGCAGCCGCCGTTAGGCGATGGCGTTGCCGACGGCCAGGCTACGCCGACGGATATGTTGCCGACGGCCCTATGCCGACGGGGGCCGTCGGCATAGGCCTGTCTCGACGGCTAGTCAGGGCTATGCCGACGGCCCTGGCCGTCGGCATAGGGTGTGATTCCGGTAGTGAATATCTGTCTACACAATGGAAGATCTCTTGCTTTCCATCTTCAATATCTAGTACAGTGAGTTTTGGTGCCTCAGGTAAATTAACTATCTTTGGGCACTTGTGAACTGATAGTTTCTCAAGCTGAGGAAACAATATATGTTCTCCTTCAGCAGCAGCATCCCATTTTTGCAAATTCTCCAAGTCTTCCAATACAAGTACCTTTAAAGCAGGAAATGCTGATGGCGCCAGTCTATAACCTCCACGACATTGTTCTTGAACCAATGGTGCTTCACGCAATGCTACCAGCCTTCCACAATATGTAATAAACAAGCTCTCAAACAGAGAAAATGGTGTGCATACCAGTCTATTACGTCCACGACTTGGTTCTCCAAGCAATGGTGCTTCAGGTAATGCTATCAGCTTTCCACAATGCCGAATAAACAACTTCTCAAGCAGAGGAAATACTATCTGTTTTTCTTCTCTCTCATTTGTTTCCCACCATCTTTCAAAATCTGACAGATGCTCTAGTGTAAGCACCTTCAATTTTGGAAACGTGAAGGATGTACCACAACTGAAAAAGACTGCAATCTTTCACAATGAGAAAGATGGATCTTAACCATGCTTTGCAACATACCCACACAGTTCCCTCCATAAGAATATATCTTCAGAACAAGCAGCCCATCATGAGGCTCAAAATTGTCAAGCACGTTGCTATCACAAACAGAACTCCATCTTAGTGTCAGTTCTCTAAGATCCTTCTTTTTCCCGAGTTTTTTCACTTTTCCTTCTGCTTTTTCAACATTCTCTAGCCTACATAGCTCTAGGTGACCACCAAGGTTTAAACCCTGCAGCTGTGCAACATCACTGCAATCCGGGCTTGTAGCTGCTGCTACGAAACATGTAAGTGTCTGCAGGTCTATGAGTTCTCCGGGTTCTGGAGGCATACTCTTCAACTTTCGACATCCATGAGTGTAGAGGTGACGAAGCGAAGTCATATACTTCATTTGCCTTGGAAGTCGATCAAGATGAAAGCAGTCGGAGAGATCCAATGTCTGCAGGTTATATAGAATGCTTATATCTTCAGGCAGTGCTTTGATCAAACTTTCAGAGAGATCAAGGTACCTTAGGTGACACAGATACTTTGGTTTTAGTAGAAATGATGTTGTCTGTGTACAGAGCTTCAAGGCTTGCAAACAGCTATATTTTGATAGATGATGAAAAGAGTTTTTGACAGACCAATCACATAGCAGAGATTGGATAGCAGGGGATCTTGTCTCCATCGAATCATTCAAAATACCTTATGTTCCTTCACATGCCAAAAACAAATGCCGAGCAGAATCAAGAAGCCACTCGGTTTCAGTTGGCTTCATAGTTGCAACAACACATTCCTTTCCCATAACAGATATTGCAATATCATGCATAAGATCATGGATTTTGCATGTAGTTATGGAATAATACTCTGAATCATCTTCATTTTCCTCTGTGTCCAAGAAGAATGACCTCGAGGCCAGCTCCTCAAAAATATGTTTTCCAGTGGTTTCAAGACTATCTTCCTCATCCTCTGGAATAAAGCCATTTGCGATCCATAGTTGGATCAGCTTCTCCACATTAATCTTGTAATCCTTGGGAAATACAGCACAGAAGGCAAAGCACTGCTTCATGTGTGATGGCAAGTCGTTGTAGCTAAGCTTGAGTATTGGCAAAATTCCAGTTTTTGCCGTGCAAATGCTGCTTCTAGATGATACAATCTTCCATTCTTTCACGCTGGTCTTGGCACAGAGTACAGAGCCTAGTGCAGTTGCAGCTAAAGGAGAACCACAACATCTCTTCACAATCTCAACAACCATCGCCACCAGTTCAACAGGCTTTTCTTTCTCCAAACCGAATGCTTTTGCCTCGATAATTTCCTTTAAGAAGCAATCCTCCAAAACATTGAGATTGTAGGATGCTGCACCCATAATTTCAGCAACTTGTTTATCACGAGTTGTTGTCAACAATGCACTACCCATTCCACCATGCTGAAGACAAACCTTCAGCCTTTCCCACTTAGTAACTCTTTGTTGTCCCAAACATCATCCAATACAAGGAGATACCGTTGTCCGCTGACCAATTTTTTAAGTCTATCCAGTGGTGATTTGTCTCTATCAACACTCTTATTGGGAGATGCTTCAACTATACTCTTGGCCAGGGAGTTCACATCAAAGGTATCAGAGACAGACCCAAAGCAGCAACTGGAAATGCTTCTGAATTTCAGGTTCATTGTATATGAGTTGCGCTAATGTGGTCTGCCAAGGCCCCCCATTCCAACAATGGGAACAACTGTGAAATCTGCATTATTAGCTTGACCAAGTTGCATAGCAACAATATTCTTCTTCTCTTCATATCTGGATCTTCTGGCAATTTCTTGTGGGTCGGCGATAACAGAATCCGTCTGCCTCCACTACTTGGACACTGGTGGTTGTGGTCGATACTTGAACCTAAAGGCATGCATCTCTGCTATAAGGACATCAATGGCCTTCAGAATCCGGCAAAGCTTGCGACCCATTTGGTAACGGAACACAATACGATTGTGAGTAGGGAAGAGTTTTATTACATCAAAGCCGAGCTTTCTGTAATGCCCCTTCTTCCTGGCTTCACGGCGAAGTGCTTCGTACTTGAACTCGTCGAAGACTTCATTTGCCTGATAAGCCACTGTCTTGAGCTCCTGGAGCCAGGCTTTGGCCCCATCTCTATGCCCCGTCGCCTGCTCCTCGGCGTCGGCCATGACGTCGAGGATGGCCGGAAGCTTGCGCTTGAGAACCTTGTGCTGCTCCTCCATTCCCTCCATCACCTTGTACTCATCCAGGAGGGAGCTGGACGCCTTGCTCATCAGCATGGACACCAGTGGCCGGATGACCATGGCGGCCACCATCTCCGCCATTGGAACTCTCAGAGCAAAACACACACACAACACAGGGAGACACAAGTGTAGTACAGAATGGAGAAGAGAATGTTGTGAGTAGTGAGCAGGACCGGACGTGTATAGTATTTGCAATGGAGAATGTTGCTGAACAGCAATGCAAACTAAACAATTACCTCCACTGACTAGATATGTGACAGGACATGACACCTACTCCCGAGTACCTGCCGCCAAGAAAGAACAGAATAGTGGTTGAATATGAACGCATCGCATACTTGGCTCCAAAGCAATGGAAAAGAGAGAGTGAGAGTAATAAGCAGTGGATGATTGGTGGTGAGTGGGTTTCACATTTTGCTTTTCTAGAAAAAAAGGAACTTTCCCATTGCATCCAGCGACGCACGGTACGCGCACAAACCAAGTGGGTGTCATTAATAATGCAGGTTTTGGATTAATCATATGGCTACACCAACAGCCATATGCAATTCGATTACAGAGCGTCCACTTTTTTTTTCTTCGAAAAGGGGATTCCCCTGCCTCTGCATCAGAAAGATGCATACGGCCATCTTATTAACCAAATAAAGTAGTGCGAACATGGTTCCAAAAGTCTCATAAAGTACTAAAAAAGCATAAAAAGCTCACACAGAGCCAGAGAGGGCTAGAAACATCAACTAGCCAAGAAAAAACGCCACAACCGGCTGGCTAAAACTAGATAGGGATACTAAATGCCTATCCTATTACATGACCGCCATCCAAACCGGTTGAATATATCCCGAGCTACCATCTCCCAGCGGAAAGACCCAGTAACCAAATGCTCCCTGGCCTCCGTTTGGGTTAGTAGCGACCACGAACGGATCAGTGCCGTAGCTCGGAATAGAACCTGCAAAAAATGTATACATGATATTCTGTTAAAGACCAAATCATTTTTGCAATTCCAGATAGTCCACAGCAAAGCACAAACTCCAACCCGAATATGTCTCGCTAAGTCAGGCTCAATCCCATTAAGCCATGTCCCAAATAACGCATTAACAGAATTCGGTGGGTTGATATTAAAAGCAATGTGGACCGTCTGCCAAAGTACCTTGGCCAGCGGGCAATCAAAAAAGAGGTGTTTGATAGTCTCATCCCGATCGCAGAAACTACACCTAGTAGGTCCTGTCCAATTACGCTTTATCAAGTTGTTCTTAGTTAAAATAACTTGTTTATGGACAAAACCACATAAACACTTTTATTTTCAGAGGAACTTTGACATCCCAAACATGCTTGGACGTAGGAATGGAGTTCGAATTAATAACATCAATATACATTGATTTTACCGTAAATGCTCCAGACTTAGTCAACTTCCAGCGTAATTCATCAGGTTGTTGAGAAAGCTGGACTTCCATCAGTCTCCTAACTAGACGGAGCCATTCTTCCCAACGATTTTCTTTCAAACAAAGTTCGATGCACGAGGTTAACAATCGCATGTTTGTCATGAGCGAGACTAATATGCAGTGCACGGTGGGTGGTGACTGGTGAGTGGGTGCTGTTCAAACTTTGCTTTTGTAGACAAACAAAAAACTCTCCCATTGCGGCCGGTGTTCAAACAAACCAAGTGGGTGTTATTAACAATGAAGGTTTCGAATGAATCAAATGGCTACAATTATAGAGCGACCACTTGCACTTAAGAAAATGATTTTCTTTCAAACAAAGCTGGATGCACCAGGTGAATAATCACATGTTTGCCGCCCAAGACGCGGAAGAAAGTGGTTCGTACAATGACCATTGTGCAACTTTCTCCGATGTGAATGACTATTGTGCTTTTCATGTACTGCAGATGTCGAAAGGTGCAAGGCGAAGATTTAGGTCAGATTTTTCGAAACGCACCAGCATTACAGCAATAGGGTCGTAGATGTGATGTCAGTATACATAATTCCAGCAAAGGCTACAATAATGAAATTCTAGCAGATGCAAAAGGGAACAGATTTGAGCAGAGTGGAGATCTGGGGGTGCCGAAAGGGGAGGGGAGCAGGTGAGAGTACCTTGGGTGGTCTAGGAGGACGTGGAAGGTGAGGGGCAGCCTGATGCCGCAGGAACTCGCTGCCGCCGTTGTCGTCCTAGAGAGGCGTCCGGTGGTGGCCGCCGCAATGGACGGACGGGAGGGCAGGCCGGCGGACCGGCGAGCGGTGGCGCTGAGTTCGCGAGAACCGCTGCACCGCCGGCCGCCAGCAGCCGCAGCACAAGGCGGATCGGCCGGCCGGCCTCGGAGACGTCGTCTCCACTCAGCCGGCGGAGAGGAAGTACAGAGACGACGCAGACCGCCGGCAGAGTGTGGATGGGCTGTGGATGCGGTGGGCTCAGAAAAAAGAGCCCAGTTTCACTTATGTTGGGCTTTCTCGCTGCAAACTAGAAAAAAAAAAGGTCTATACGGTCAATCCTCAGAAAACAAATGTCCAGAGGCTCAAAGAAAAAACAACCATATCAGATATATGGAAACTAAGGTGTTTTCATCACACGGATGACAAAGTTTTTGGAGAGCTCCGTCAAGCAATCACACATAGAGGCAGCACGTCAGTGCCAGCGCATTTGACACTCGGGCGCCGTAGCTGACCGTACCAAGTGATCCTCCGATTTATATGCTAATAAAAAGGTGATCAAAATACCCAGGCGATGTTGAGTAAGGTAGCAGGAGATCTAGAGGACTGGGACACTAATGTTTTAGGTGATCTGGAGAAAAGAATCAAAATGCTAAAAAAAGGAGCTAGAAGAGGTGCGAAGAGGAGACATCACCCAAGAAAGGGTTAACAGAGAGCACTTTTTGAGGGAGAAGTTGGACAGATTGGAGCACCAAAAAGATACGCACTGGAAACAACGAGCCCATGTCAAATGGTTACATGATGGGGATAAAAACACATCATTTTTTCACGCCTTTGCATCTGAAAGGAGGAAAAGGAACACCATCAAGAGGCTGAAAAGGGAGGACAACACTTGGGTGGAGGGGGAGGAACCTTTGAAAGAGCACATTGCAAATTACTTTTTTAACATCTTCTCTTCCATGGCTGGAAAGGATAATGAAGAAATTCTGCGCGTGGTTCAACCAAGGGTGACAAAAGAGATGAATGATATACTGTGTGCTGAGTATACAGAGGAGGAGGTGAAACTGGCCTTAGACAACATAGGTGACCTGAAAGCACCAGGACCTGATGGTATGCCAGCCATATTCTTTAAAAGATTTTGGCAAATTGTTGGGAACCAGGTCACAAAGGAGGTTCTTCAAATATTGAGAGGAGGAGAAATGCCTGAAGGGTGGAATGATATGCTAATAGTATTAATTCCGAAGAATGCCAACCCAGCAAGCATAAAGGATTTGAGACCAATCAGTTTGTGTAATGTGGTGTATAAGCTGGTCTCTAAGGTAATCACAAACAGGCTTAAGGTAATTATTCCCGATATCATCTCCCCTAACCAGAGCGCCTTCGTGCCAGGGAGGCTAATTTCGGATAATATTCTTTTGGCATATGAGCTAACTCATTTCCTGAAGAGGAGAAGAAGCGGCTTGATGGGCTATGCAGCTGTCAAATTGGATATGAGCAAAGCCTATGATCGTGTTGAATGGACATTTTTAAAAGATATGATGCAATGACTAGGCTTTAAGCGGTGTTGGATTGAACTGATAATGCGTTGTGTCTCAACTGTTAAGTACCAGATCAAGGTGAATCACGACACAACTGAAATAATTACATCTCAAAGAGGCTTGCGCCAAGGAGATCCACTCTCTCCATACTTGTTCCTCATATGCGCAGAGGGGTTATCTGCCATGTTACATGAAGCTGAGATGAGGGGGTCACTGAGGGGGATCAAGATCTGTAGAGAAGCGCCCAATGTAAGTCGCTTGTTGTTTGCAGATGACTCATTGCTACTCATGGAGGCTAATGCTGAGAGTGCCCATGAAATTAACAGAATATTGAACTCCTATGAAACTGCTTCAGGCCAAATTATTAACAAAGACAAGTCCTCAATATTATTCAGCACAAACACAAGTCAAGAGATGAAGAAGGAAATGAGAAGTATTCTACAGATTAATTCGGAAGGTTTAACCTCGAGATATCTAGGTGTTCCATCCTACTTGGGTAAAGCCAGAGCGAGATGCTTTGAGTATATAAAAGAGAGTGTGTGGAAAAAGATCCAAGGCTGGAAGGAAAAACTCCTTTCAAAAGGTGGGAAAGAAATCCTTATTAAAGCAGTAGCACAAGTAATCCTAGTGTATTCCATGGCTTGCTGCAAATCTAACCAAGTCCTTGTGCAACGAGCTAAGCCCCATGATCAATAAATATTGGTGGGGTCAAATAGATAAGGAGAACAAAACACACTGGGTCAGCTAGGAAAAACTGACGAAGACAAAGAAGACCGGGGGTCTAGGATTCACGGACCTCCATGTTTTCAATATAGCCATGCTTGCGAGACAAGCTTTTGGAGGCTTATTCAAAATCCAAACTCATTATGTGCGCAGGTTTTGTCTACAAGGTACTACCCAAATGACTCGATTCTAAATGCCAGTCCCAAGGATGGTATCTCCTACACATGGCGCAGTATATTAAAAGGGATAAACTTGCTAAAGAAGGGGATTATATGGAGAGTTGGTAGCGGTAACAACATTAATATCTGGTCTGATCCACTAGAAGAGTCATCACTCGAAGGGGTAGAAATGCTATTACCAAAGTTAATGAGCTGATTGATCCCACCACAAACAATTGGGATGAAGATCTAGTAAGGCAAACCTTCCTTCCAGAAGATGCAAAGATTATCCTACAGCTCCCAATTCATGAACATAACGACGATATTATAGCATGGCATTTTGATAAAAAAAGTTTTTTTTCCAGTAAAATCTGCATACAGAGTGCCTGTAGACAGTGCAACCCGTGAATCAAATACAGGACTAACTTCTTCCTCAAGTGCATATGACACTAGTGCAGAACCGGCCTTTAGTGCCGGTTCATAACGGGCTTTAGTGCCGGTTCGCCAACCGGCACTAAAGGGTGGGGACT